CGAAAATTCGAGCTTTGGGAAAGTGAAACAAAAATCTATCGAATGATACCATTTTTAAGCACAACATTCTTGTTTCTATCTCATCTACCGAAGTCGCTCGCTTCTGAAACTTTAATTGTTAATAACTTTTTAACTAGAGGTGTGCAAACGAAAATTCGACCTGTTCGGAAAGTGCAAACAAAATTCTATCGAATAATACCATTTTAAGCACAATATTCTTGTTTTTATTTCATCTGCCGAAGTCGCTCGCTTCTGAAACTTTAATTGTTAATAACTTTTTAACTTAAGAGATGTGCAAATGAAAAATCGACCTGTTTGGCAATATGCAAACGAATATCTATCAATTGAGCTATTTTTTATTTAATTTACTCATAGTTGGGAGGCTAATGTGAAGATGGCTCCCCGAAATTTGTTTTGTTAATAACTTTTTTACTAGAAGTGTGCAAACGAAAATTCGAAATGTGCATACATGTGCAAACGATGAGCAATCGAATGAGCTATAGAAACTTTATGTTTTTCAATGTTGGGCTTCAATGGGGGGCTATCTTCACACAGGTCCGTTCGGTACTTTTAATTTCCGCTAATCAAGTCGCTCGTATCAATGAATAAGCAACCGTTTACCCGTTTAGCGATTAGTATCATTATACTACAAGCTTCGCTAAGAATCAGCGGATTGTACACGATTGTCGAATGTCCGATGGAATTGCGAAAAGACATCGCAGAATACAGCAAGCCGAAGCCACTGCAAACAAGCTGCACGATGCAGCTCTTGTGTCCGCCGTTACCGGAAGATCTGACGAAATATGAGAAACGCGATCAGGGTTATCAGGTACACGAAGATCCCGATGCCGGAACGATGTGCGAGATGAAGCTCAAGATCAATATTGTGAGAAACCTGAATAGAAGTGAGATAAAAGAGGAAAATCCGTGCATCGAGCTCGCACACCACGAACATCCGGTGTTGTTGCCTCACTCGACTAATTGTAGCTTGGTAAGTATCTTCCATAGAAAAGAAAAAAAATAGATAAATCATAAGAAATCCATCCAACGAACTTTTACTTTTCTATAAAATAATCGAGAGTTTAATTCACTCTTTCTTCTTGATTGTATAATTAGAAAATTATCGATGCGATTCTGATCTGCTCGATTCCTTCGTGAAAAAGATAAATTGATGATCATTTCAGTTTTACAAATGCGACTGGGGCGTGCCGATGCTCTTCGAGTGCCCGGAGGAATTGCACTTCAATCCCGTTCTTCAAGTGTGCGACTGGGCCTGGCAGGCCAGGTGCGATTCACCCTGGAACGATTGCCCGCGACCCTTTCCACGATGTCCGATTCATTACCCGGGCCCGCTGTTATTACCGCATCCCTTCCGGTGCGATCGTTTTTATCAGTGCAATTGGGGAACGTCTCGATTACAGGCGTGTCCCACAGGGCTTTATTTCGACTCACGTCTCAAAATGTGCGACTGGCCTTATAATTCTAATTGTCAGAGTTGCTGATGTCGTAAAAGGCGCGTCGTGTTATAAATTAATTTTTAAAAACACAAATTTATACAATAACATAATATAGATTTTGTATCATATAATAATCTATGATTGAACATTATATTGTAATAATCTATGATTGAACATTATATTGTAATAATCTGTATAACTAAATATAATCGACTTACGTAATAATTCGATGTATCGAGAACATAATTATATGTGGGATCCTCCAGCTCAGTGCAACGAAGCCATGTAGCAAGGGTCAATGCCGCACCCCACAACATACCCACTACTAAAAGCTTGGGTAGGTAAAATGTGATAAGTCGTCTCTCGTTCTATATAAACAGATAGAATAAACAATTAATTGAGATAATTGCTAATAAAGTGTATTAATATCTTAATATTAAATATATCGATTTTCGATAAATATGTTATTTTAAATCAGCATCGTAATATTTGTAAAGATAAAATTTATAAAATATTCATATTTTATTTTTCTAATAAAAATGTGACTCTGAATTTTTTTCTTAATCTATTAGTAGATAAATAGATATATACTAAGAATTTATCCACTAATTCTCTACTTATCCACTAATCTTTTAACTATAAAATTATTGATGAATATTTTTTATGATACCTGTCTAAGGCCATGATAGACACAGAGCCAGAACATGAGGATGGCGCATAGAAATGTCGTTTGTAGGATCGCATCCAACATACCAGGTACCCAGGAATTCACCAAGAAAGTCATGGGAAACAGCGGATCTGTTCGATTAAAATATAAGCTCGATAAAATGTCGCAAATCACATAGATGTGTATTGATGAAAAAAAAAACATGAAAATCTTGGAAACTTACTATTGTACAGAATCAGTAATGGAAGAAGTATAGAGATCCACTTTTGTTCTATCGACCAATCATGCAGCGGATACTTTCTAAGCGAATGGCCAAACCAGCACTGAAAACGATACATTTTTCTTTTCGGTTTCTAGAACGTACTTTAAATTTTCACGAAAAAAAAATGGAGTTAAAAAACAGTCGAAAGAATTCATTTTCCAAAGTTGCAAATTTCTTTTCATCGAGATAAGAGATTGATTGAATAATAAAAATTTTTCTCTTGATTATTAATTCCTCCACCTTAATATTTTTAATATTTTTTATAGTTACAAATTTTTATTAGAGAAGAGAAGGATATTCACATCGTTCATATTCTCTTATAACAACAAAATTTATTTTAAATGTTATATTTAATTAATGCAAAATTTATTCTCGAATCAGTTGTTACTCTGAAGCGATACGATAAAGAAGAATTTTTGTTACATTTTATATAATAAAATCATTTTGAAACCAATTCTTAATATCGATAATTATTTAATATTCAATTTCTCAGAAAATAATAGCCTTCGATTCATTTTACCATTTTATCGTCAAACCCATCTATCTTTTAGGCATTTTACAATCATAGATTACCATTACTCCGAACGTTGTCAGTAAAAAGATTAGTCGGAACCAGATTTCGATCTGCGTGAACGCTGGATTGTAGTTCTTAAACTGTAAACAAGAAAAAGCAGAGGAAACGTAAAAAAAGAAAACGAGACACTTGAGTCTTGGGATAATCGTGTCCAAACGGATGTGATTATTTCGTGCAGTGCTTACTGACGTAGAATGTGAGTTCTCGTATCGTGTATCGCTGGTGGAAGCTCTCAAGTCCATGGAAGCGGACAGTGATTATGTAGTAACTATAATCGAGGAATCCGAGGTGAGCAACAACAAGTTCTTCGCAAGATTGCCTCTCGCATTTCAAATGTCTAGTTCTGAAAAACGATAATAGTTCGTTTATTATGATATTATTATGATTTATCTAGCTAATTTATTAATTTATGCATTTTGCTCAAAATATATATCACAATTTTTAAAGAATTTTCATTCATCATTACACGTGCCAAAGCAATAAAAATGTATCAAATATAATAATTTTTTTACAAAATTTGTAATATTATTGTCTTTATCAATTTATTAAATCATCAAGGATATTTAAGAGTATTTTTTAAGAACGTTTTTACCGATTATGTCCAGCTTCTGGGGATAGTACGGATACGAGCTTGCGATCTGCAGTGATACCATCTATGGAAACGCTAACTTGGAATCCTTTGTCATATCTCTCATCTACGAATTGTCATCATAATTAATTATTGAGAATAAAATTATAAAAAATAAATAAAATTAATTTAAATAAAAAATACAATTTATTAAATTTTTATTCTTGCAATTAATTATAGAGACGAAGTTTTATCGAAAAATTAAAGAATTTTTATTTAATCTATTTTATTGAAAATATTTGACATTTATAAAATTATAAAAATAGGTTAAAATTAATAAAAAACAAATTATAAAAATACAAAAAAATATATAAATTTTATTATCATACAATTGTAATTGTAAATTTTATCAAGAAATCTTCATTTAATTTCTTTTATTTTTTTATATCTCTTTTCGAAATATATTTGTATGAAAGAAAAAATTGTTTTCTACATGAAAAAATAAATGTAGAATAATTATCTCATTTTCTAACAAACTTTACGTCCCATACGCTTTCTGCTATTAGCTTAGGCTAATGAAATGATCAGAAATCACACGTTACCATCAGTATTCGATGTCGATAGCTTGGCAATCACCCATAATTGTTGGCTGTACGTAGACAACAGAGGTGTCTTCATGATGAATGGACCAGTGGCCATTTCGCTACCATTCAAATGAGCCTTCTGTTCGCTGGTTGACGTTATAGGCGGCCCTTGAAACGCATTAACACAATAACATTTTTTCATATGTTTAATAACGAGGTTAATAACAGTAAGTAGTGCTGTCGATACTCAAATCATTTTATTTCGAAATCAATGGGTAATCATTTCTGACACTCACCAGCAAGACCGATAAAAACTGCTAATCCAAAACACGCAAAAAAGGCAACAAACACCATGACGAACTCCCTCTTGTGCATCGAATATAAACGCATCTGTACGGATCTATATGGCAAATGTGTATGAGAATTAAAATTAACAATATACATATAAATACATACATATAAATTCGGACAAATTGAGTGAATATAGCCGTATTCTATATCTTCTATTTAAATGTCACGAATATTATAATAAATTGATTAAAAAATTTTTTTACTTGATTGATAAATTCGTATATTCAATAAATTCGTATTTATTTATACTTATTTGTTAATAAATAAAAAAGATGTAATTGGATTTTGCAGTAAAGTATTATTTAATAAAACAGCTTTTATATCAGTCTCTGTTTTTTGAGCAATTTTTGATATACCTTTCGCAACGGTCATGATGATAAGCCGGTGCGATATATTTGTTAAATTCGCTGAAAAGATCACTGAATTGCGACAATGCGTTTCTGACTTTGAGATTCCAACCAGCTGATGGGAGATGATATGAATATCCTAATCCGGGCCCGTCCATCATCTCCAGAAATGCTTTTTCCTGTACATTAATATTCCAATTATATTTTTTTATCTCCCTAA